TGAAGTAGGCGCTCTTGGGGCCTCTTGGGGGCCTCTTGGTCCTTCTCGGGGCCGCCTTGTGTGTGCAGGAGCTCTCTGGGGCCGCCTTGGCGGCCTTGCCGGCGCTGCCGCGCCCCTCGTTCTCCAGGAGGGGAAAAACACAGACACAATGAGTCGTCGATCCCCAGGAAGAAAAATGAAAATATGGGAAGTTGGGGGAAGACGAAAACTTTGAAAATATGGTAAAACATTGAGAATCCTGTTATTTGTGTGTATGTATCGGCGTGTCCCAGGGCCCTTCAGCAGTTCTCCCCTTCCCCTGCCAAGCCGCCCTGGCACCCTTCCTCCTGCGCGACGCTGGATCACCGAGCGCGTTGCACTACTCGCAAAGTGCCTACTCGCAAACTTCCGAAACACACATGTCCGATGTGATGCAATGTATCGTAGATCCTCCGCGGAGGTTCCAGGCCACTTGCGAGTAGTTACTCTGGGAGCAGTGGAACGCGCTCGTTTACTGGAGCGGCCCCGGAAGTTGCAGACCCTCCCCCATCCCCCTTTCTTGGCAGAGCCGCCCCGCCCCCCCCAGCAGATCCGAAGCTGAGGCTGTAGCTGATGAAAACCCACGCTGGATCGGCGGATCTTCAGGACGAGAAGGATGATTTGGAGCAGGGGGAGGGGTGCGGAGGGTTCTTCTCATGATCATCTTCACCCCCTAGCCCCCCACACACCACACCTGACGAAGCGTTCGGTCACATCCGAAAGCCGCTGGAACTCTCCAAGAGCTCCATTAGGGAGGCCCGCTTTCAATTATCGCAGTAATCGCGTATTTCTGGGACGTCACGAAAGCGACGTAACGTCCACAGGTGGAGCACATTTAGGGCGCGTCTGCCAAAAGTAGGGCAGAACTGCTTCGCGTCTTGCGCAAGTGCTCTCCGACCGATCCTGGCCAGACCAATCACGAGTCCGGGATCGGTGCACATACGTTCCCTGCCTGGCCAGGAGGGCCTAAACGCCCATCCTGGGACCCGCACCGGCCGAACAGGATCGGTGCGGGTGTGCACTTGGCGTCGTCCTGCCCCCCTCTAAACCGTTGTTTTATTCATTGTTTTGCAGATCGGCGCGAGCCCTCGCCCCCCCCCCCCCCGCGGAGTAGAACTTAGCTGTTTCGGGCGTGTGTTTCAGGCAGGTGGGCTCTCCCCCATGGGACGTGTGTTCTAAATTGTCGCACTAAGCAGAGGTCCAGAGCCAGACCCCGCCCCCCTCCCCCCCTTTCCGCCCAAGGTCGAAACGCCGAATGCGAAATAACGCCCACCACGCCCATCCTGGGACCCGCTTCGGCCGAACAGGATCGGTGCAGGTGTGCACCTGGCTTATGATGTTCCAACCTACTTTAGCCTGAACCACCAGAACTAATTTCGAGCACCAAGAAAGTACCGAAACTCTAGGGTTTTCACGTGTCGGGCCCTGGGAGACACTCGTTCGACATTGTTTCGACACTGTTCCGACACTGCTTCGACACTTTTCCAGGTGCTCGAACTTATTTCTGGGATGTGGCCCTTAAGTGCAATGGGGGCAACACCTGTCAACGGCCCCCCCCCCCAATATGCAAAGCAAAGTTGGCGGTGGGTCTGATGAGATGCACTTCGACCGAAGTCCCCCCCCGTGCGTGCCAACATTGAGGTCGAGGGAGAGGGGGAGTGTTCAGTGATTGCTTCCCTCTACCGTAACGCCTGGCGTCGTCCTCTCCCCCTCCTCGGGCGGGCCCGAGGGAGGGCCCGAGCCGGCTCCGCCTGCGGCGCCCGCCTCCGCGGGCGGCCGCGCCCCCGCTGCCTCGCGACCCTGCGGCCTCGATGCGACCTCGGGGGTCTGGTGCGGGGCGGCCGCTGCCGAACCTGGTCCGGTTCCCCTGTGGCGTGGGATCGCGTGTTCTGTCATCCATTGTTTTGCCGATCGGCGCGGGCTTTCGCACCCCGCACTCCCCCCCCGTGGGGTGGAGTTTGGTTGTTTTGGGCGCCTGTTTCGAGCGGGTGCAGTTTCCCATATGATGGACACATTGTTGCAAACAGTCGCATTAAGCAGAGCTCCAGAGCCAGACCCCCCCCTCCCCCCTCTGCCGCCCAATGTCGAAACGCCGAATAAGAAAACGTTGACCATTCCATTAGGGTGCCGCTTACGACTGCCCTTGGTAAGCGGCTTCTCTCGAGGTCCAAAGTTCTCAACACACGCTTGCCTATTGCAGGTCGGCTTGTGTGGCGTTCTGGGTTTGCCTGGCGGCTGCCTGACCCGCACTGTGCCCACTGCTGGGGCGTGAGTCCTGATGTTTGACTTAATAGCAATGCAGCTTGTAGGTGGCGGCACACACGTAGCCTTGCCGTCTGCGATGAAGCTCCGTTGCGTGGACTTCCCTTGTGCCTACCCGAAGACAAAAACCCTTGGTTAGCGGCATCCTACAAGCCTGCCTGCCCACACGGTGGGGGCGCGAGTCGAGAGGCCACCCGCGTTCCGCCAGGGTGCCATGCAGCTTCTCGGGGCGGGGCGCCTGCATTCAGAACCCCGCGGCTCGCAGTCTCCGAAACCGTCGACACGATGGAGGAGGGGGTTCGGCGTGAGCGTACGGTAGGTCCGTGTCGTGTCGACCGGCGGCGACCCCGCCAGCGGCGTTCAACGTTGAACATCGCGGGCGACCCAGAATCGTTCGATGTGGAACGATTTGGACGTTTCGGAAACGGCCGATCGTTCAAGGTTGAACGATCCCCGCGGTGTCAGGAACCAACGCTGGGGTAGGGGGGTGGGCCCAGGAAGGGAAGCATCGACCCCCAATGGCCTGCTCACCGCCGATAGGGGCCCGATAGCCCGCCGGGCGCAGGAGAGTGTGGACTCGCCGCTATCGGGGGCCTTTCGCCAATCAATCGGCGATGTATTGCTGATTCCAGGTCGATGGTTTCCCTCTTGAGCTGGCCCCCCCCCTGACGTTGGCCCTCAATGGAGGAGGTGGGGAAGGGTGGGAGAGGGGCGCTGTGCATCTTCAGCGGCCGTTGAGCTTTGTGAGCCGCCCCGAGGCGTGTCGTCGCAGAACGTGCAGGCGAGGCCAGAGACGCGGGGGGAACGACGAAGAGGAGAGGCAGGAGCCAGAGGAGGAGGAGGGGGAGGAAGAGGAGGAGTGAGAAGGGCGGAGCGAGGCATCGAGGGAGGAAAAGGAAGGAAGAGGAAAAAGACTGGATGAGGGGAGTGATGATTCTCTGTGCAGGATAGTGAGCGCCAGGGGAGGGGCTGTTGGTAGCGCAGGATTCTGCCATTGATTGTTCTCGGTCTGTAATCATTGTGGCTCTGGTTTCAAGGTCTCTCTCCTGTCTATGAGTCTCCTCACGGCATGCTTCCACGGTGTGATATCCAACGTGCTGGGCACCTGGCTTGGGCACTGGGTTGCGCCGCAGCCGCTCCACTGTCACTGCTCGGGCCCAGTGGTGGAGCCTGGGCTGCTCGAGCTGCTCCAGTCGCAGCTCAACAGGTGCGGGCCCGCCGAGCTCGCGCCCGTGTGCCCCGTGTGCCCGCCCGTCGGCTGGGGGACGGGAGACGTCCTGCTCGCGTGCCTGGTGGGGCTGCTGCTGGGCGCGGCAATGGGGGCTCGGCTGTGCAGCTGGTGCCTGGCGTGGCGGCAGGAGCCGCTGCCCGTGCAGGCGCGTGTGCGCAGGGGCGCCGTCCCGACTGCCGAGTCCGCTGGGGCGCCCCGTGCAATCACTGGAGGTTCGAGCTCGAGTCCGAAGGGCAAGGGCAAGAACGGGGTAATCATCCAGGGCTGAGATGGCGGTGCTCGCCGCTGGATCCTCTGCGTTCCTGTGCTATGATGGGGGCGATCCCTACCATGAGAGGATTTTCCTGAGCTGGGTGACAGCGAGTGAGTACGTTGTTGTGACACCTGATCTGGACATCTTCATTGAACAAATCGACGGTGCCAACGCCGATCAGCAGGGACTTCGATTGGGAGGTACCGACGGTCGGCTGCCCTTCGGGATGGGTGGCCTGCAAATCTGCCGTTTCCAGGTGCGGCCTGCTGCTGGTGACATGGCGTTGCTTCTGGCTGAGGGCGAGCGGCACGCGCAGGTCGAGAGGGCCCATGCGGGCTGGCCGCCCCACCTGGCGCCGTCGCGCGGGCGGGCCCGGGCGGTGTGGCTCCTGCCGCGGTGCCGGCGCCCGTGCGGCTGGGGGCGCCCGCGGTACCTGGCGCGGTGGCGGCGCCTCTGGCTCTTCGGCTGGCCTGACCTGCTGGCGCTTGGGTGCTGGACGAGCCACTCGACGGGTACGAGCTGGGGCAGGAGGTTCCCTTCCCGCCATCCGCGCTGGACGTGGGCGGCCGCGCGTTCGTCACGGTCGACGGGGTCATCGTGTCCATCTCCTTGGTGACGATGGGGGCCGACCTCGACGCCGGGGGCCGCGCGCGTCAGCAGCAGTTGCTGAAGGGCGACCCGCGTCTGCTCCTGCGGCCCCGCGGCGACGCGCCCGTGGCTTTCAACATCGACGCGCCCATGATCGTGCGAGAGGACTCGGTGCCGCTTCGTACGAAGGGCCCTGGCGCGCTCCAGGACTCCGTGAGTGAGCTGAGCTTTAGGTCCCTGGGGGGCTTTACTGCCGCCCATGATCGTTGGCTGCCCGAGTCGAGTGTGCCAGCCAGCTCACGGTCGGGACATGAGCATCGCGCCCTGTGCCGAGCGCTCACCTTCGCGATGGAGTCTGACGGGCTCAACATCGCCAACTTGTCCTGCTGCGAGTTCTTGAACCGCCGCAGGATGCTGATCGAGGCTGCGCATCGCGACGACCCTGGGCGCCCTGCACTCGATGGGGTCTCATATCTACATGGGCGAGGAGGAGGAGGGCACCGGCGCGACAGCGACGCCAGAGACGGCGAAGGAGGCGGCGATCGAGAAGGAGAAGCGGAAGGCCTACGAGGCCAAGGCGGATGCAAAGGCGGCGGCGGCCCGTGGCAAGGCCCCGCCGCCAGCGAAATGACCTGTGGGGCCCGCAGGGGGGGGGGCCTGACCCGCGCCGGCGACCCCCCTTCCCGCGCCAAGACAAACCAGAAAAACAGGGACCGATGGCGGTGGGGTGACGCACGACGCCGTGCTGCTCCTCCGCCTGATCACGCTGGGCCTCGACCTCTCGGGCAGCCTGGCGAACTTTTTTTGCCGCTGCCCTGCGTCGGGGCAGAGGTCTCGGCAAAGGTCTGCGCCGGCTCGTCCAGGGCGGCTCGGCGCCGCAGCACGCTCCGCCGGCTGGCCCTAGACGGCGCAAGCGACATGGTGGCCGCGCTCAACGCCCTCGACGGCTGCGAGCGCGATGCGATGGGGCCGGCGAGCCCGGCGCAGCTCTCGGCGCATCGACACAGGCTGCGCGCCGCCAGGGGGGCCCGGCATAATTTTGACCCATTTCTACCCCGTGAAGCTGCGGCTCAGCTTCTGGGACCCCTTGTAGATTATGGAGGAGGCGGCTCTACAGTTGACCCATATGATGCCGTTCGGTTGTCTCTTCCTCCTTCTAGGCGTGACCTGGTGGACCTCGCGAAGGTGTCGGGCGACGATGCTCGGCAGGTGCTTAATATCTTCGACAACCTCATCCTCGCGAGCCTGGGTGTCGTGGCCGAGGGCATGGGAGAGCGCGCCATCTCGCCCCTTATCTCGACGGGTTGACAAGAAGGCCTACGTGGATTTTCTTCGGCGCCTGATGGATAGGCGCCTTCTCGGAGCGGCGTCGGAGATGCGAAGTCTTGTCGCTCCCTTTTTTCGTGTCGAAGAAGAACGGGCGACAGAGACTTGTTCTACATTGTCGGCTTGCCAACGCCCTCTTCACTTACGCCCCGACGGTCGAGATCGGTAGTTCTGAGGCCATGAGCGCCATCGAGCAGGAGCCTGGGCGCGAGCTCTGCGCAGCCTCGGCCGGCATCGAGGCGCGCTGCAACCAGTGCGGCGGCATCGGCCAGTTGAGCAACTACCTCTGCTCGCCGCTGGCGTCCGAGGAGGTGGCGCTCGAGCTAGGGCTGTCCCGGGACATCAACGGCCAGGGCATTGCTGGGCGCGGGCGCGTCTACCCTTGTTTGGCGGCGCCCCCCGATGGGCTGGAGCTGGGGCTTCTGGCTGGCGCAGCGCGCCCACCTGGAGATGCTGCGCCGGGCAACGGTGCCTGTCGGCAAGGTTGCCCTGGGGGCCTGGCCGCTGCCGCCCTTGGACTCCGGCCCAGTCGAGCTGCCCCACTGGGACAACATCAACGTTTTGGGGGTGAATGCGAGCGAGGTGACCGAGCTGCGAGATCGCATCGTGGCCCGCTTCGCCTACGAGGGCTTCAGCATGCACGAGGTCTCAGACACTTGTCCACACTGGACTATCCTGGAAGCTGATGTTGGCGGACACCCGCTTGTCACGCGACGCTCGGGCCAGAAGCTGTGGATCCTTCGAGGTGCTCTTCAATGGCTGGCTAGTTGTCCCATCGCTACGGGCCGACAAGTCGAGGTCGTTGTCGGGCTTTGTGTGGTTGCTGCCCTTTTGAACCGTGCGGGGGTGTCAGTTCCTCGCGCCCTATCTTATTTTATTAGAGATCGCTACATGAGGCCCTGCTGTTTATGGCGCTCTTGCAGATGCGAGGCTAGGAATTTCTCGGCAGTCTGCGTGTTGCTTGGGAGCCAGCTGGACAGGCCTTGGTCGTCTACCGCGACGGCTACCGATGCCTCGACTGCGGGCTTCAGAGTGTACGAGAGAAAGATGGAGTCTTCTGAAGTTGCTGCGCTCGGGAGGTGGCATGAGAAGTGGGGGTTCAGGCGTCTACGACCCGAAGAGTGGGCCACCCGAAGGAGGGCTCTCGATGACTTCCTCGAAATCACCGACCCCGCGTCCGTCGTCAACAACAGTGTCTTGGATGGGTGGGCCAGGGTCGAAGGGTTGCCAGATGTTCCTCGTCATCAAGTGCAGAAGGAGGGGTGGGGGGTGATCTACAACGGGCCTCATCGGCACATCGAACACATCGGGCTGAAGGAGGGGGGGCTACGCTATGGGCACTGCGTCGTCTCGCCACGGACCCTTGCCATCACCATCATCTCCATCTGTTCCTGATCGACAATTTCGGGGTCTGTTGCTGCTTTGACAGGGGTCGCTCTCCATCGCATTGCATGCTCCAGTTGAACCGTCGCGTTGCGGCTCTGACTCTGGCCACCAACATCGGCCCGCACTACCGCTGGATCCCGTCGAAATGGCAGCAAACCGACGAGGCCTCGAGAACGTTTGAGAGCCTCTCGCTGGTGCATGCCGGGCCCGCTGAGCGCGGCTGGAGTCGCTACCTCGCAGAGGCGAGCGCCGCTCGACCCCGCCACTCCGCGCGGGGCGGCCCGCCTGCCAAGAGCGTCGGCGACGAGGGACCCGGGGGGCGCTGCGACCCCACGCCAGCGCACGGAGCGCGCGCCGCCCCTGCGCGCCAGGCGGGCGATCGCCAAGAGGCCAGCTGCCTGTCCTTCGAAGCGGGCGCGGCCTGCGGCGAGCAGCGCGGCGGCGCCGCCCCGGCCGCGCGCGCGGTTGGCGCGCGCTTTGGAGCCGGGCCGCAGCAGCCCCGCCTCGTCCGAGGTGCTCTCCAGGTGCGAGCAGGCCTCGGCGGCCGCCGGGACGCGCGTCGGCTGCAGGGCGCACTCCGATCTGTTCCATGAGTTCTTGCTGGAGGTCAGCGAGGAGCCGACGGCTGTCGAGGACATGGAGGTGCGCGTGCTTCAGTTCCTCGACCTGATGCTGGAGGCAGAGTACACGAGGGCCGACGCGACCATCCTTGTCGCCGCGGTGAAGGACGCTCACCCCTGGTGCACGGGCTCGCAGTCGATGCCTCGCGTCAGCCGGGGGCAGCGTGGCTACGCCAAGCGCAGGCCCCCAGCGTCAAGCGCGCCAGTGCCTCAGGAGCTCCTGCGAGCTGCCGTCTCAGCGTTGCTGACGCGGGGCCACCGCGACGCTGCGCTGCAGGTGGCGACGACGCTCTTCACGTACATCCGCCCTGGTGGTCTACGGAAGCTGACGGTGCAGCAGCTGCTAGCTCCCTCGCGCGAGGTCGGCCAGCTGCAGTTCTGGAGCCTGGTCCCTGTGCCAGCCCAGCTTGGCCCGAGGGCGCCTGACAACCCGCGGGGTGCGCGCGGGGGGGGCCTCGGACGAGACGGTGGTCCTCGACCACCTGACCTGGCTGGGCGAGTGCTTGGCCGCCCATGTACAGGGCAAGTCGCCGACCGACCTGATCCCCCCTGCGCACGGGGCGATCGTGGCGGCGCAGTTCGGCGCGGCGGCGAGGCAGCGCGGGCCCCCCCGGGTCTGCCTTTGCCAGCTGCGGCACGGCGGGGCGTCCGACGACGTCCTGTCAGACAGGGGGGGGCGCAAGACCGTCAAATCAAGGGGGCCACTGGATGACGGACTCGTCGCTGGACAGGCGCGGGATGCCTGGGGCCGCCCATCAACTCCTGAACGCCGTGACCGCTGTCTCGAGAGGGTTCGGACAGCACGTGTTCGGAGTGATGGGGTCGCTGTTCTTGGGCAGCGTGGCGGCGCGAGCGATCCCGAGGCAAGTGGCGGCCACGCCTTTTCACCCCGGGGAGACTGGGGGCCGCGAGGCGGCCTGATCCTCGCCCCCAGCACCCCCAGGCCGATGTGGGTCGTGGCCGAGCCAATGGCAGGCAGTCGTGGCATCAGCTCTGCTTGCAAGAGCGGTGTTTTTTGTTCACGCGCAGTTGGGAGATCAGCTCCTCGAAGTTCGGAGATGGTATGCGCGCGCAGGTCGGGGGCCATCTGCTCGCTTGCTTTGCTCGGAATTGTCTCGCGTTGTGCTGGATCGGCCCTGTTTGCGCGTCTTGGTCCCGCGCGCGCCGTGACCGCTCCGGGAAAAAAGGGTGGCCTGCGCCAATTCGGGATCGAGGGCGCTTGTTTGGCCTCCCAGGGTTTTCGGATACAGATCCTCGGAAGATCCTGGAGCGTTGCAGGCAGGCTGGATGGGCGGCCGCGTTGTTTGATCTTCTGTCGCGTCGTGGCGTTCCCTGCATGATAGAGAATCCTTCGTCTAGCATGCTGTGGGATTTGCTTCGGTTCCAACAGTTGCTCGTGAAATATATAGACGATTGTGCTTTCGGCACGCCTTATCGCAAGCGCACGACCGTGTTGTTCTCACATTTGCCGCTCCAGGAGTTCGCAGGGGCCCGGCGCGCAGGGAGGATTGGGCATTGCTCGTTCTGGTAAGCCGCGCATCGAACTCGCTGGGCGCACTCCGGACAACAAACAGCTGTGGTCCCACGTTGCCTCGGCCTACCCTCCCAGCGTTTGTCTCCACGCGGCCAAGCTCCTGAGTCGTTTCTCTCCCCCCCTCCCGCCCAGAACATGATATGGGCGTGGGTGTTGAGGCGGGCGTGGTCCGCTGATTGCTGCAATCGTGTGGTTCAAAGCTCTTTTTAATCGTCGGGGCAAGCCGTCCTGCGTCTGCTGCGAAAGAGCGCGCCCCTCGCCGCCCGCGCTCATGATTCTGCGCACAGGGCAGTGAGTGCCAGGGGAGGGTCTGTTAATAGCGAAGGATTCTGCCATCGATTGTTCTCGGTCTATAATCATTGTGGCTCTGGTTTCAGGGTCCCCCCCCCGCCCCCCCCCTCCCACCTCTCGAAGCGCTGTGGTGTTGAAGCGGACGTGGTCAGCTGATTGCTGCAACCGCGTGATTTAAAACACCTTTAAATCGTCAGAGCAAGCCGCGCTGCGCCTGCTGCGCCTCAGCGTGCCCCTCGCCGCCCACACACATGATGATCATGATCGTGGCCATCTCATGGTCTTGATCGTTCAATCACAATCATACTATGGTGTTGATGCTGTTTTCGTTGGCGGTGATGGGAAAATGGTGCTGATGATGCCGATGACGAGGATGATGATGATGATTCTGATTATGATGCCGATGACGATGACGATGACGACAACGACGAGGACGATGACGATGATGACGATCATGGTTATGAGACGGATGATTGATGATGATGATGATGATGATGCTGATGATGATGATGATGATGATGATGATGATGGTGGTGATGGTGATGGTGATGGTGATGGTGATGGTGATGATGATGATGATGATGATGATGCTGATGATGATGATGAATATGACGATGGTGATATGATGATGATCATGATGATGGTTGTGACGATGGTGAGGAAGGGGAGGCGGAGCAGTGGAGCGAGGAAGGATCCGTTGACAAGAGAGGAGTGATACGACGACCTCGACGACGCTGACGCCGACGTCGACGCCGACGCCGACGACAACGACGGTCAGGACGACGCCGACGAAGACGACGAAGACGGCGACAGCGATAGCGAGGATGACGACGAGGACGACGGCGCCAATGACAATGAAGAGGGGGAGGACTTGGGGGGCAGAGGGCGATAGTGATGAAACCGCTGGCGATGATTAGGGTGATGACGATGATGATCTTGATGAAGACTTGGCTGAGGATGATGATGACGTCGATGGCCATGCGGATGACACTGTTCATTTTGTCGATGATGGTTATGATGGTGTTTGTGGTGGTGGTGGCTTTGATACTGATGATGGTGATGGTGATGTTGGTGAGGGTGATCGTGATGTTGATTATGCTGATTCTGATGACAATGGCGATGACGACGACAACGAAGACGATCATGCTGATGATGATGCTGATGGTCATGATCTGTGATTATACGTGATGGCGGTGATGACGTTCAAGTCAATGCACCCCTTCCGCACCGCCATCCTGCTGCCTCCCTTGCTCTCTCACGCCAGCACTGTTTGGCTTGTCTATTACTTTACAGCTGTTTGGCTCTAGGGAAACAGAGAAAGAGGGAGCCTGCGGCTCCCCCTTTCAGGGTTACCCTATTGCTAGCTTAACGGTACTGTCTTTCGTCCCCATGTCATCGGCGAAGCCCGCTGATCATGAGACATCAGCGGAACATATTGCAGGGATTATGAATATTCTGGCAAAATACTGGTGATCCGCCGAAGCGACGGCTCAGCTGTTAGCTTCGCAGAGCATGGGATCACAGGAAGGAGCGCTCAGAGGATCAGAACATCGACGCCGCTCCGAGCGTATTGATAAAGTAAACGCCTCCATGAGGCGACCTAATTCTCTCAATCTTCCCAGAAGGCAAGCATCGGAAACTGTGTTCGGCTTGGCGGAAGGGGATTCCCCAGTTGAGTCATCGACAAGGGCTACAGCACAAACCCTGGGCGGAAGGCATGGCACAGCAAAACTTCCGCCGAGGGGCCATCTGAAATCGCACAGTGCATCTGAGTTCCCGATCGTCGATTGACTTAGACCATGAGAGGGAGGAGGAGAACGATGAGGAGCAGGATCGGGAGGACGGAGATACGGACGAGGTGGAGGTGGAGGAGAAGAAGGAGCAGGAGGAGGAGAAGGAGGACGAGGACCAGAGTAAACCCAGGATGCGTCAAAGATGCTGTAGTAACCCCTCCCGTCCTGAGGGATGGAGGGGAAGGAGGGCCCCTGCTTCCGACGCCACGTTTTCCCCAACCCGTGGGCCCCGGTGCTCTCCACCCCTTGCCCAGAACCAGCTTGCCGTCGTGGTGGGCAGCTTTCTTGCGGCTTTGGGGCTCGGGCTCGGCCTCCAGGGGCCGAGGTTGGCGAGAGAACGACGGCTCCTGCGCTCTTGTGTCGGGTCGCCAGAGGCATGCGTCCCCGGAGTGAGGCCTCCAGAAGTCTCCGCTGCAGGGGCCCCCTGGAGGCCTCCGGAGATCTCCCTGGAGGCCCAGGCAGGGCGCGATAGGCTCTTCCAGAGGATGCCTCTCGACCCTCGGGCCCTCGAGGACCGAGGAGCGGGAAGGAGGATGGAGAGAATGATGCTGCTCCCCCTCCTCCGCCTCCTCGCCTCGCCCTTCTTTCTTCCGCCACCTCGTTCTTCTTCTCCTCCCCCTGCCCTCTTCTCAATGCTACTCCCTCCGAGGCGGGAGGAGGAGTAGAAGGGCCCAGGAGGTTCCCAGAGGCTTCGGGAACCCTCTGGAAGCCTCCAGAGACCTTCCTAGATCTTCGATCTTTCGTGGATCGAATTTCGGGATGCAGATTGGAGCAGGCGATGCCAGGGATGCAGCCGATGCCGATGCAGGGCATGCAGCCGATGCCCTGCGGCGCCAACCCTCAGTGGCAGCAGCAGCAGCAGCCCCAGGCGTCGTCGTCGTCGTCGTCGTCGTCGTCGTCGTCGTCGTCGTCGTCGTCGTTGTCGTTGTCGTCGTCGTCGAGGCTCGATGATGGATGGGACCTCCAGGTTTGGGAAGTCTCAGGCCTCTGGGGGCCTTCGGGCGGATGAGGAGGAGGAGGAGGCGGAGGAGGAGAGCGAGGGAGGGGGGAAGGGGAAGCGGGGAAGAGGGGCAGAGGGGCGAGAGGGCAAGGGGGGAAGGGACAATAGTGGTGCTAGATTCGTCATTCTACTCCTGCCTATGCGACCACCCTTCGGGTGATCAGGAGGTTCGAGGAGGGAGGAATCAGCGTCTCACTCAATCGATCTCACTAACTATCGATCTTAATCTAGAATTCGCGATCAACTTCACTCGATTTCACTATCGATATTACCATCGATATCACTAACGATCTTGCTATCGATCTGATGATCGATCTCACCATCGATCTCGCTCTCAGTTTGACTATCGATCTTACCACGACCTCACTACGGGACACCGACGGGACACCTCGGCGGGACAACCTGGCCACCGCCCGCCCGCCGGGGGAGGTCCGGACCATCGTCTTGCCGCGCCCCAGCAGCAGCGGAGCCATTCCTCTCGCCCGCACACGCGGCCTCGCCTCGCCCCGGACGCACGACACGAACCCGACCCCGACACAATGTTCCGTTCACTGTCGATGTCAACCTCCAAATTCCGACCCCTCATCCCTTACCACAGAGTTGAGCCTCTCCATTCGCAGAGTCGAATGTCGAAGGAATACATGGATCCTGAGAGGGCAGCCTTGTCCCGAAACGTGGCAAGCGCTGAAGTGGGAACTCCATGTCCCTAATGCAGTAATGCGGCCAGCGCGGCGGCGAGGGCGTCGTTCCGTAGGGCGAAGGTTATATGGAAGCATCTACGTGTGGCAAATGCTGCGGGAGCTGTATTTCGTTGATGCGAGAGTGCGGCCAGCGTTGCGGCGAGAGCGTCATTCCATTGCAGTGGTGCTTGCTGGAAATCTTGAATGCGGCAAGTGCAGTAGCGAGACCACGCTTGTTGATGCACGACTCTGGCCAGGGTCGCACGGAGGCGTTTGTGGGAATCGTTAGCTGTGGCAAGCTCTCAAGCCATCGCCTCTGCCTCGCCCCGCTTTTCCCCTCCGTCCTCCCCTCCCCAGATTTCTGGGGATGTCTCGCAAAATTCGCGACCGAGATTTATTAATCTCGGTCATAAATCGCTCGGGACTTTCGCACACCCACGCACGCGGTCGCAGCCCTGCGCCGCGGCCGTCTCGCTTCCGCGGGCGTCGGCGTCGGTGTGCCCTCCGCCCCTGCCGCCCGCCGGCCCGCCGCTGGCCCTGCCCCCACCCGTGGGTGCGTCTGGGTTTTGAGGTTAGGATCGACTTTCCCTCCGGTCAATCGCATTACATTGTTAATCCTTCGAAGGCAGACGAGAGAGAGAGAGAGAGAGAGATAGAAAAAAAAAACTCAAGCCATAGTGCAAAGTTTCAAGTGCCAAGGACGTGGTGATTTGGAAACACATCGGAAATCACATGTGGGGGCATCCTTTGCGCGGGAGGACAGTACGTGAATTGCGGGAGACATGAAGACAGCATCAGGGGGGAGGGACGAGAAGCATTCATTCTGCGTAATTGTGGAGGGATGGGGGGGGTTGGAGGAGAGTGTGAGTGGTCATGGTGTTGATGACGATGGTGACGACGATGATGATGGTGGTGTTGACGAGGATGGTGATGCTGATAATGATGATGGTGGTGGTGTTTGTGATGCCGATGGTGATGATGGTGACAATGATGACGGTGTTGGCGATGATGGTGATGACGGCGGCGATTGTGATGATGGTGGCAATGGTGATGTTGGTGATTCACATGATGACGTGTCACAAACCTTGTCATTGTGTTGTTGATGAGGATGATGCTGGTGATGATGCTGGCGATTGTGTGATTAGGGTGATAATGCTGATAGTGATGATTCCGATGAGGATGGGCATACAGTGGTGCGGGTATTTGTTGATGGGGTGATTATGCTGATCGTAATATTGATGGTGGTGGTGATTGCCGAGGGTGTAGGGTAGGATGAGCACTCCTCCCCCAATCCCCACAGGGGCACATGGCGGCGAACCAGCCCCAGGGCGGCGGGCAGCAGATGATGCAGCACGGCGGGTATCCTCAGCAGATGCAGCAGATGTACCAGCCGATGTCGATGGGTCACCAGTCGCAGATGCAGCAGCAGCAGCAGCAGCAGATGGGTCGCTTGCTTGTCCTGCCGCCCTGCTGGTTGCGAGGAGGATGTTGGGCGTCGCGTCACGGGGGCGCGTAAGGAAGGGGGGGGGCAGCGAGGGCTGCAGAACAGGAGCCTTTCAGGGCCTCTGAAGGGGTCCGTTTGGGCCCCAGAGGGGGCCTTCGGGGACCGAGAAGTGCACCTGTCGTCCCCCCCATGGATCGCCCCCCCACCCTTCGTTAGAGCGATTCCCAGAGGATCGAGCATGGAGGTCTCTGGTAGGTTTTTTCATGTTTTTTTTGTTGTGAGTGTGTGTGCCTCTGGGAGGCCTGCCACCGCCCTGCCTGGTGGGGGCCGCTGGGCCTCTAGAAAACCTCGGGGGTGCTCAGGCCCCCCCCCCCGCCCTGAGAAAGAAGAGGACCCCTCCCAGCAGGCTTGGCTCAAGCTTGTTCGGCGCGTACCCATACGGTCGGACCGAGTATCAGATCGAGGTCGGTTCGGGAGAGGGTTACCCTAATGTTCTTCGTGCCTGGTGGACGTTCTTCTGCATCCAGGGGGAGCGTACCCTCGAATGTTCCTCAGTTTGGCTGTAGGGGGGTCCCATGTTCTTGGAGGATCTACTTCTGCCCCAGGTCTGGCCGTACTGCACGCTGGAGTGCTCAAGTGCAGAGTTGGTGTCCAGGGTCATCTCTGATGATTCTCGCGACTTGAGCGTGTCTGCCTGGTTGGGAAAAGTGCGCCAGTAGCATACGGTAGGTCCGTGTCGTGTCGACCGGCGGCGACCCCGCCAGCGGCGTTCAACGTTGAACGCCGCGGGCGTCCCATAATCGTTCGATGTGGAACGACTTGGACACTCCGGAAACGGCCGATCGTTCAAGGTTGAACGATCCCCGCGGTGTCAGACACCAACGCCGAAGTCGGCACGACACGAACCTGACGTAAATGCCATCAGCAGATCTCCCAGGAGGGTTTGGTCTCTCTGGGAGCCCAGGAGACTCCCCAGGGCTCAATTCGATTCCTCCGATTCGATTCGATTTCGATGGCCTCCGATTCCGATTCGATTCGACTTGGCATTCCGATTTTGGTTCCGATCCCTTACTGGAGGCATGCTAGCTTGCCGACTTCCGCCGATTCGACTTTTCCCGACGCTGCTGCCGATTTCCGCCGATCCGATTCATTTCGATCGCCGATCCGATTTGTCGTTTCGATTCTGGGCTCTCCCTGCCCCCCGAGAAAGAAAGACACCATTTCCATGAGGCCCTCCAAGGAGCCCTGCGGATCCCCCCCTGCGAAAGACAAACAAGATCTCTCCCAGGATGGGTTTGGAAGCAAAATCCGGGTCTTCCACTCGGGTTCTGCCTGTTTTTCTCATACGGTCTGCCAATCGCGCTCGAAATCCAAGAGATTTCTTTCAAAACAGCCGTCCAACATGCTTTTGATAAAGATAGAAACCATCCTGTGAGGGGTTGTTTTGAAGGGGTTGGCCCCGTAATACCAGACCTGTCTCATCTGGAGGGTCAGGTCGTAATTGCACGTCCTGTCCGAGGTACGTCAATCGTCGTTTTGGTTCCATGTCTCGTTTGGATGTCGAGTTGTGTGGTAATGGTCAACACGCCACAAATCCCTCGCGGAATAAGGAAGGAGAGGTGCATGGGGTGGCGCGGCGGCTCACAGGGCGAATCTGTCGCCTGCTTCAATTCCACATCAGGTGGGCGTTGGACTCGCTGTGAGCAACCATATCGCCTCAGCGGATGCCCAGCCGCAGCGGATGCCCAGGAGCAAAATTGAGCAGCTTTGTGCCCGGAGGACTGGCAACTAGAAGTCAACGATCACCAAGGTTATTCGCAAGATCAGGGGCAACGTTAGGGTGTGATAGGCTTAAGGTTTCATTCTTCGACCCCACGTCGCCCATTCATCGCCAAAAGGGGCCCGATAGTCCACCCCGCCCGGGAACGTGTTGCTTGGCTGACGGGGGCCTATCGCCGATCATCGGCGATGTATCGCCGATTCCAGCTCGATGTTCCCCCCTCCCGAGCTGGGTCCCCCTTTTCTCGACGGCGCGCAGAGGGGGTTAGGGAGGGGGCAGGCGTCTTAGGAGTAGGCTGCTTATTAAAAGCCGCGGGCCTCACATCTACAGACAGGGCCTGCGCCTTCTAAGCAGCAGGGGTGCTTCTAAGAAGCCTTCCCCCCTCATCAGAGTAGCGCAGTGACTCAAGCTGCTTCACTGCACTGGCGAGAGCTGAGCGGCTCAGCGGCTGCAGCCTCAGCTGCCCTGCTTGCCGGCTCCCACAAGACGGGGGATGGGCCTGCGGATTGCTGTCCAAGGCGACGACGACGGTAACGACAGGAGGAGGGGGAGGAGGAGGAGGAGGAGGAGGAGGAGGAGGAGGAGGAGGAGGAGAAGAAGAAGATTGAGGAGGGGGAGAGGATTGAGGAGGAGGAGTGGGATAGCGGGGTGCTGAAGGGGCTGGACGAAAGGGGGAGGAGAAAGGGCTGGAGAGGAGGAGGCAGAAACTGAGAGGAGGACGAGGACGACGACGATGGGATGAAGAGAAGCAAGACTTGGACGATGATGAAAATGGAGGGGCGAGATCCTGAAGTGCATGAGGATTCTCTTTGATCTTTCAAAGGGTTATGACGCGGACTCCGGGGAAGGTGTGAATAGAGCGAGGAGGGCGTGGCAGAAGGAGGAGGGGTATCGGGACCGGCGTAAACCTAGCCCGCATCATTCATGTTGCGACATTTCCTTTCGTTCCAAGTGCGCCCTCAGCAGAAGTTAATGCAGGAACGAGAAGGGCCCGCTGGAAAAGTGAGGTTGCCCCGCGTCCCTGTCGTAGGGTCAAGGCCTGGAAGAGCTGGAGTTGCAATGCCCACCATTGGCCTCACCAACGTGTGGTATGCGAGAAGGCTGGGAGAGCAGACCTCCTATGGACTTACCACAGGAAACTGCGGGACTGCAGAGTCGTAGCGGCGATAGCACATCTGAAAAGATGTTGCGCTCTTTCCGTGTACGCGTTGGGAGCTTCCAGCTTCATGGTCATGGATTGGATGGAAGGTTCAAGCGAGAATACGACATTGAGCGCGAGCCACGCTTTATGCATGTAGCCGATTGATATTCGAAACGCTGGATCAATTTTCGGCAGCGCCAATGTTAACCGCCCTCTGTTGGAAACGCAATACGTAATGAATTCGTAAGCATGAGATGCAATGTAAGCCTCCAGCGAGAGCCCCGTCTGGAATACTGCTCTTTGATTTGTGTGATTTTGGAAAGGATCAAGCTTCAGGATCATGGTCGCCGGGGAATGTTCAATTGATAGCCAGGTCTGGAGTCGAACACCTCTACGCGCTCAGCTGGCAAAGGTTTCAAGCTGCCAGTCCGCAGGGTGTGAGAGTGTCTCAAGGGGGAGCGGGAGTCTGTCGGACGGGACTAGGACGAGGGTCAATCCGTTCCATGGCGTCCCTCAGAGCGTTCTGGGACTCCCTGAGAAGGCCGCGGCGCCCGAGGCATCCTCCAGATCTGCTGGCTCTCGGAGAGATTCCCGACTTGTCCACCCCCAGACTTGGCCTCGCCCTGGCCTCGTCCGGGTCCGGGAACGAGGCAGCGCCCGGCACCCGTGGGCGCGGCCCGCAGGGGCGTCACTCGTGGGGACGGTCCGGGCGAGCCGCCCAGGCCACCCGGCCGACCCGCCTGGCAGTGCGACGAGGAGGCACTGCCGGTGGGAAGACGGGTGGTGGAGCAGTTCAGAGCGGGGGTACCAGGAGGACCGTTGGAAAAAAAAACACACTGTGGGAAAACACAACACACACACACACACTGTGGGGGAAAAAAACAGTCTGTGGGAAAAAAGCACACACACAAAACACACACACAAACACACACACACACACACAAAACACACACATATATATTTAATCGCTTCGCTCATGCCGCCGGCCCTGGAGCCCTCTCTAGGGCCTCTTGGGGGCCTCTTGGGGACCTCTTGGGAGTCTCTTGGGGCTCCTTGGCGGCGTTTTGGAGGCCCCCAGGGCCTCTTGGGGGGCTCTTGGGGGTAGTCGATTGCGGCTCCCCCCTCGGAGGCCACGATCCTCGTGAGGGGTGTCGAAAAATACCCTCCCCTGGAGTGGTCTGGTGGCTTCTCCCGGGCTTCTCTCGGGACCTTGCCGGGGTACTTTTCGTCCGGGGGCCCCCAGGGGCCGCTCCGCGCGCGCGAACTAGAAATATTGTTAACAAGTTACCGGAGATCTTAGCACGCCTCTGGCCCGTTGGACCGGCGAATATATATATATATATATATACACAAAACACACACGTAGGAAAAACACCTACACACACACGGTGGGGAACATCACACGTGTGTGTGTGTGTTTTTCCCACAGTGTGTGTTTTTTTTCCCACGGAGGGGGGCGAGGATCGAAGAAGAGCAAAACACGTACACATATAAATTGTTGGCGCTCAGTGCCGCTTTCTCGGACCCGCGCTGGGCCTCCCCGACGGCGCCTCCAGCGCCGCCCCTGGCCCGCTCCGCGCGCCAGAGAGGAAGTCCGGCGCAGATCCAAGAAGTCCGCGCGGAGTGCCAAAGTTTATGTTTATGGCGTTTTTTCTTCTTCTAGAAGAGGGGGAGTAGTTGGAGGAGGGGACGAGGAGAAGTTGGAGGAGGGGGCGAGGAATGCGAGGACAAGCGTCAGGAGCTGGAGGTGAGCAGGGTGACGAGGGGGAGGACTCTGGGGAGGAGTGGGAGCAGGGAGAGGCGGAAGGTGAAGGCGAGAGGGGGGAGGGGACGGTCTGCCAGGGAGGGGAACAACGATCAGAACGGAGCAGGGAGGAAACATCAGGAAGGCGGCACGAGAGGGTGGTGGAGGGGGCTGAGCAGCAGCGGAAATTGCTCTTGTGCCCGGGCGGGCAGGCCCCCTCCCCAAAGCGGGCCCGTCAGGCCTCAGTCCCGCCCATCGCTCTCTGCGCTCGGATTGTGGAGGGAGTGAGATGAATGGAGGCGGATGGCCTTGAGACTGGAGCTTGCGCCGCGTCACCCCTCAGGTCAGATGCAGCAGCAGCCCCAGTTGCCGAGCCAGCAGCAGCACTCCCAGTCGCAGCACTCCCAGCAGCAGCAGCAGCAGCAGCAGCAGCAGCAGCAGCAGCAGCAGCAGTGGGTGATAATGCAGAACCCACAAGGCCGGGTGCTGACAGAAGCGGCCCTGGCCCAGGGCTCGGCTCCACGTAAGAGTGACCTTTCGCCAGAGTGACCTTGGGCGCGGACCCCATGGGGCCCCTCGGGTGAGCAGCGGCTTGCGCGCCTGGTGGTGTCCCCAACGAGTCTCCCTGGGGCCACCTAGCATAACTGCTCGGCAACTTTGATAACCATTGTAGCACAGATGTAACCTGTAGTAACGCGCTCACCCTTCCAAGAAGAGGGGCACGATAATTCACTTTTCTTCCCCCCTACCGACGGGCCCCCTGAAGCAGCGCCCGACACTTCAGAAGGGCGGGCTGGGTTCGGCGCGCCGCCTGGCTGCGCGCGGGAGCCTCTGTCAGCACCCGGCAAGGGACGGGGGCCGCTGGGGCTGGTGGCCAGATGCCCGGCGGCCAGCAGATGATGGGCCAAGGACGGCGGCGGGGCCGGGCCCTCGCGGCCTCCCAGACGGGGTCGGAGCCGAGGCGGTCGGAGGATCGCGCCGCATCGCCGCTGCGTCGGCGATGCAGCTCGATGTGGAGCCCGATTTTCTCCACGCCAGGGCGTCGCCGATGCTCCGCCGACGTCGCGGATGCATCGGCGATGCATCGGCGATGCGGCGCGGTTCTCCGACCTCATGTGCTCCGACCCCATTTGGGAGGCCTCTAGTCGGCGGCGAGCCGGGGGGGGGGAAGTGAGGAGGCGCCGGCCTTCTCAGAGGGCGGCGGGGCTCCTCAGAAGCCCTCACGCCCTCTGAGAAGAAGTGCTCTGAAGGCTAAAAAAGAACTGTTTCAGAAGACCGGAGGCCTTCCGCCCTCCGAGCCGTCTGTGAAGGCCGGCCCCCCTTGGACACACCACCGATCTATAGTCTTAAGTCGGGCCTGTCCCTCTACCGGGGGGAATATTCAGAAATATCAGAAAATTTGGTCCGGGCATGATGTTTCTAGCATTTGTTTGCTATTTGGGGGTATTTTGGGGTATTTAAATCTTTTCGTCCAAAATCCGCCTGTAGGGGGACATGCCCGACTTAACTATAGCCCTGCCTGCCGTGCGAATCCCAGACGTCCTGGCGGTGCGACGGGAGCCGAGTCGGCGAGCGTTTTTTTCGTCCTTTTCGGCGTCCGGGGGCCGCTCGTCTGGGCCCAGCTCAGACCAGGTATGAGGAGGAGGAGGAGGAGGAGGCGGAGGAGGAGGAAAGGGGGGAGGGAAGAGGAGGAGGAGGAGGAGGAGGATAATGGGAGGAGGATGGGAGGAGGAGGAGGAGGAGGAGGAGAGGAGGAGGAGGAGGAGGAGGAGGAGGAGGAGGAGGAGGAGGAGGAGGAGGAGGAGGAGGAGGAGGAGGAGGAGGAGGAGGAGGAGGAGGAGGAGGAGGAGGAGGAGGAGGAGGAGGAGGAGGAGGAGGAGGAGGAGGAGGAGGAGGAGGAGGAGGAGGAGGAGGAGGAGGAGGAGGAGGAGGAGGAGGAGGAGAGGAGGAGGAGGAGGAGGAGGAGGAGGAGGAGGAGGAGGAGGAGGAGGAGGAGGAGGAGGAGGAGGAGGAGGAGGAGGAGGGGAGGAGGAGGAGAGGAGGAGGAGGAGGAGGAGGAGGAGGAGGAGGAGGAGGAGGAGGAGGAGGAGGAGGAGGAGGAGGAGGAGGAGGAGGAGGAGGAGGAGGAGGAGGAGGAGGAGGAGGAGGATGTTGGATAATACAAACATGCAGCGCGACGGGTAAACAAACAAAAAGTTGAGTCAGAGGGGAGGAGGGAATAATGAGTCCTGGTTGTGGATGCTGGCGAAGTGCTCTCGTGAGTCGGTCGTGTGTTATCATGCACTGGGCGTGTATTGGTGATCGAGTTTCGGCCATGTGAGAATGTCTTGAGCAGATTGAGCCCAGGTGAGGTCGTTAGGGTGACTGTTTGCGGTTTGCGGTGGCTGGTGTTGGCGTTGGATGCAGGTCGGGTCCTTGATGCTGGAAAGGAGGGTGAAAGTGTGGGATCGGTTCGGGGGGCGAGGCATTGACTTGCATTCGGTGATACATCGCCGATAAATCGGCGATATGCCCCCGATTGCGGAACCGAGCGTTCCTGGGCGGGGCGGCGGAGGCCCAGGTTTCGATCGACGATGAATGGGCGACTGGGGGTCGATGGGCGAGTCCCCCCAGCCCACAGCAAGTCAAAGCAGTTCTGAGCAGTGCAATTCTAGACGTTTCGCGTAACCCCACCAGCCGTCCGTAGCCTCTGGCTCAAGCCATCTCCTGGGGGTGTTCCTCTCCCTGGGGTCAGGGTTGGAGGGGACGCCCAGACGCTGTGCGCGGGCGGGCTGCGCCGCCTTGGGAGCCATACTCGTCCGCGCCGCCCGCCGCGGGGCGCCCCCTCCATCTCTTCCTCGCCCCCGCGTTAGCCGACCTAGGGGTGGAGGAGGAGACAATCGGATCGCGTTCTGGCGCCCTGGGGACCGCTGTCGGGGACGAGTGCGAGGGTTTAGTGCGAGGCTTGGGAGCCCTTGCGCTGCCCGCGGACAATCGGAACTTCGGATCCCCTGGGGACCCATGCAACCGCTCGGGAGTTCCTCCAAGCAGCCGTCACGACCCGACAGTCCGCCGATTTAGCGCGGAAGATCGGACAGTCGATCGCGCTGATCGCGGCCGCCCTGGGGAAGTGTCGGACCCGCCGTCGCAGCCGCGAGGCGGAGAGGGTCTCGACCGGTCCGACGGAGCGGCCGAGGGCCGCGTACCTTGAGCCGACGTCTCTCTTGTGTTTCCCCTGCTTCATTCCGATGCATTTGCGGCGATCAGCCGCCTACTTGGAGAGGGTTGTTTACCCAGTGCATTTGCGACGATCAGCCGCGCAGCCAGCCATGAGTTCTTTCATTCCTCTGCACTTGCGGCGATTCGCCGCCTTCCTGGGGATGAGCTTTCGGACGCGCCACGCCATGCCATTACATTTGCGACGATCAGTCGCACGCCTGGGGAAGACGCCGAGACGAACTGCGCGCCTGCTTTGGCCTGTCGTGTCCCTGAGGAGACATCCGACGACGACGTCGCCCCCGCTGGTTCCCTCGATTTTGTCCAGGCTTTGGGGTAGTGCGTATCGGCGCCGAGGCACGAGGTGGCAGCGACCACGGCCGCGCGGCGCCGACCGACTCTGACGTCCGCGCCCCCTCGCACAGCATCTCGTCGCCTGGGGGCCAAGCCGGGGCATTGGGCGCGCGGCGCGACAGAGCCGTGCAGGGCGCTGCCCAGAGACGTGCCCCTGAGCTTCGGATGCCCTCCGACGCTGGCCAGGCACGGGCGGCCGCCGCGCCCGCTGGCGGGCGCAGCGATGACGAAGAAGACCTGGGGTGGGGATTAGAAATGGGCGCGCAGGACCGACCGCGAGGAGGGCGCACCTCGCGAGCCCCCGTGCCGGTGGTCAGCGCGCGGCCACGGAGGGACGTTCGGACGCAGGGGGGTGCCTGCTCTGCCTCCGACACGAGAGGACGGCAGAGCGGAAACGGATTGGTTCGTCCGCGAACGGCCAGATGCGCGTCGCGACCGAGTCGAGATCGGGGCGCCCTCTCAGCTTACCTGCCTCCCCTTCCTGCCAGCCACGAGTCTTTTCATTCCTTCGCATTTGCGGCGATCAGCCGCTTGCCTGTGGAGAAGAGCCCATGAGCGAGCCGCGCCGTGACAGTGCATTGGCGACGATCAGTCGCGCGCCTGGGGTAGATGCGGAGACGGGCGGCGCGCCTGCCATGGCCCGTCGCGCACCTGGGAAAGCACCTGACGACGACGCCGCCCCCGCTGTTCCCCTCGATCCTGTCCAAGCCCGGGGGGGCCTAACGGCGCCGCGGCGCGAGGTGGCGGCGACGACGGCCGAGCGGCAACGACGGACTCCGACGCCCACGCCCTCCCACGCAGGTCCCCGTCGCCCGGGGCCCAAAATGGGGCAAGCGACGCGCGGCGCGACAGAGCCGCTCAGGGCGCCGCCCGACGACGCGCTCTTGATTTTAAGTGCCCACCATGCATGGGCGGCCGCCGCGCCCACCGACTGGCGCGCCGACGACGAAGACGACCTGGGTGGGGGTTAGACGTAGGCGCGCAGGACCGACCGCCAGGCGGGCCCGCCCCGCGAGCCCGACCTTGGGATCGCCGCGGGGCGACGAAGAGACGCTCGGGCGCAGGGGGCGCCCTCTCTGCCTCCGACGCGAGAGGGCGGCAGAGCAGGAATGGATCGGCCCGTCTGCGATCGGCCAGATCTGCTTTGCGACCGAGTCGAGATCGGGGCGCCCTCTTAACTCGCCTGCTTCCCCTTCCCATGCTCAGTTCCAACCCCCTCCGCCTGGCCGCCCTTCTCGACGCGCGACGCGGCGGCGCGCCTGACAGCGCGCCGCTAGCCCTCATGCTCACACCCATCGGCCCAAGATGCGGCCCGACCAGCCGGTTCCGACGCGGGCCGCGCGGCGGGCCCACGATCGAGGACCTCACGGAGGGCGCCCCGGCACCGCGCGGGCTCTGGACAAGAGACGCGGGACCGCAGCCGCGTGCTCGCAAAGCCGCCATGCGACTCCGGCAGATGACGCGCTTTCATTGGAAGCGGCAAAGCGGCATCCCGAAGGCCACCCTGGACTGCCTCGCCCCCCCGCGCAACGCCAGCCGCCCCGGGGCCGACCCGCCCGAGCACTGCGCCGACGTCTTTATGCTCATGGACCTTGCAGGACTGGCGCGGTCGGCGAATGAGGGGGGCAGCGAGGGCAGGCTGGGGGGTGTAAGACCGCGCCCAGCACAGTTGTTCGCCGTGTGGCTTGCTGCGCTGGCAGACACGTGCGGGGGCGATCTGACCCCGTCACTGGACTGCGATGCCCCCAGCATCGCCGAGAAGGCCGCAGCCTGCAGAGATGTCCACCTCATGCAGGGGGCATCCTTTTGCTATGGCATGGGCGGCTTCCACGGTAACAACCCCGCATGCCTTTCCTCCGGCGCCGAGGGCCTCCGCTGGCACCGGGAAGAACCTCGACGACCGCCCCGGCGGCGCCGTCCTGCTATCGCACAATGCGCGGGACCTTCTCGTGCACGAGCGCAGACAATCAGCCATTCATTGGCCCAGGCACGACGAGCTTCTGCATTGGGCAAGGCACTGCCGCGCGCTCGACGGCCCCCCCCCCGGCGCCGTCAACGCCCGCGCCATGAACCGCCTAGCCAGCCTCGCGTTGGGGCTGTGCAGCAGCCGAGATGGACGGCTCGAGGGCGCCCCCCCTGCCCCTGGATTGGCCCCTGCGCGGGCGGGCGAACGGGCTGGCCCAGAGCATGCCTGGCCCGGGAACGACGTCGCAGTATGCCCCGACTGGGGGCGCAGGTTCAAACCCAACACCAGGCGCGGGTTCTGCGGGCCATGGCTCCAGCGGGAGCCACGGACAGGGCAATGCCCGGCGCGTGCCCGCCTGGCCGTCCAATGGCAGACAGACGGGCGGCTTTTCTTC